TACTACTACTACTACTACTACTACTACTACTACTACTACTACTACTACTAGGCCCAAGGAAATTGCAGGACGGCCCCCAAAAGAACTCAAGAGCGCCCCAATATCACCCTCCGTAACGGGTTCGGCTCAAGGCCTGGTTGCCTAGTGGTCCTGTTCGCACCGCGCTTTTCAGGAACTTTTTGGCAACGGTGCGCTTCGGCCACATGTGGGCGCTTCTCTCTTCCAGAGAGGACTACCCGACTAATCAGCCCGACGTCCCGCAGTTGCCAACTTCGCTGGTGAGCCCCGTCGAAGCGGCCTGCGACTCCGACGACGCTTCCTCGGAAAACCCCAAGCGTTTGTCGGAGGCGACGCGCTTGGCTCAGGGTCCGTCCACCTGCGCGCCCGGGGCCCCAAGTGCGTCGCAGACAGTCTGGACGACTCCACCAAGTACGCCGCGTGTGCGCTCTGGGGTGCCTGCAGCGCCGCCGTCTCTGCAATTCGGAGAGCACCGTGCAGAGCCCTTGCTTTCGGCCCTCGAGCGAAACTGCACGAAGCAAGTGCGCCTCGCCATCGAGGCAGACCCCGAAGCAGCCAAGGAGCCGTTCTGGGACAGCCGCTTCGAATGGCCGCTCTGCGCCGCGATCCGGCTCAGGTGCAGCGTGGAGGTGGTCCGGCTGCTGATCGAGAACGGCGCGGAGGTCGGCGTGGCGAGCGTCGGCGGGCAGTCTCCTCTCCAGCTGCTCAGCACGGGGACGGAGGATCACTTCATTGACTTGAGGGGAATGCCGAACACTCCGCTGGGCGCCGCCGAGTGGATCGAGAGTATGCGCCAGTCCACCGCGCAGTTCGAGCTTGGCGTGGCCACAGCACTGCTGAATGCGGGCGCAGATCCAGCGGCGCACCACGGCGACCCTCGGATGGGAAATTGCTCGAGTCTGGAGCTTGCACGGCGCTCCGGGAAGTATCATTTAACAGATCTGTACGAAGCCCATTCCCGTTGCTGATTGTCTTACCCAAGCCAGGCCATCGCGGGAGCGTGGCGCCCTCGAGCTTGCCTCAATGGGGCCCTGGAGGTGATGTGCGGTATCGACTGCCCAGGCCCAGGCCTTCGGACCCGACATGGAACCGCTTGCCTACAGTTGCTGCAGCTTGTGCCAGGTTGGGTTGCTGGGCCATGCATGTCTTCCGCACCCGGCTGCATGTTTTTGCATTTCGCCTCTTGCTCGGGTGCCGAGTCGATCGACGGAGACGTCCCCTCCTCTCGCATCAGTCACTTCTGGACCGTGCATGTCTTCTACACCATGCTCGGCCTCGATGCCCTTCTGCGCCATGCATGTCTTCGCACCAGCTGTATGTCTTTGTAATTCGCCTCTTGGTCGGGTGTCGAGTCGAGCGGCGGACTCGTCCCCTCCTCGGGCAATTACTTCTGCGCCGTGCATGTCTTCTACACCATGCTCGGCCTCGATACCCTTCTGCGCCATGCATGTCTTCGCACTAGCTGCATGTCTTTGTGTTTCGCTTCTTGGCCGGGTGTGAGTCGAGCGGCGGACTCGTCACCTCCTCGGGCAATCACTTCTGCGACATGCATGTCCTCTACATTTACCTTGGCGACCGCCGTGCGGAGCGTACACCACTCCAGGCGGCTCTTAGGTCTGTGGATTTTCCCAGAGTCAGGATGATCGCGGCTTGTAGTTTGTAGGGTGAGGAGACGGCAGTTGGCTGATATGTTGATCATGTTCTGCCAGAAACGTGGTCCCATATTTACCCGTCTTCGCTCGAGATATTGATCTGTATATCTCTTCGCTCGAGGTATTGCTCTGTACATTAGTAGCTTGGCCAGTGCACGCGTGAGCGTACACGGCGCGTGTTGCTCTCGGTGCTTGCACAATTTGCATGTCGTAATTGCTGGACTTCTTTCATGTGCAAGTCGAAGTCGTCTCCAGTTGCTCGCTCCTTCTCCCTTCCCGAATCCGCTGCAGAGTAAGTGCCTCTGCTGATGTCTTCTTCCGTTGCCCGCTCTCTCATCATTCTCTGTTGTAGTCCGTTCTCTCAGGAGTCCCAACGTTTGTTTCGCTTGAAGCATCTGCTGCGTGCAGTGGTTTTGGTGTCGGCACCTTGTGGGAGGATTGCAGGCAGGTGCGCCGGCCCCACTGAGTGGCTTCCGCGAGTGAGTTGCGACCACGGATGTCCACTGCTTGGCCAGAGGGTAGTTAGACTGCGGTTCGCGATGCGGAACTTGGTTGCTTCATGCTTTGGAGTTCGCCCCAGACTGCAGAACTTCGATTCTGAAGACGATTAGGGGAACACGGCATTCCCTCATAATTTAACGCAGTGGCATGGACCTTCCCTTCTCAGCTCGATGCCTTCCTCCCATCATGCTCTCACATCTTCCCTCATTTACACTTTTTAATAAATACTCGCTCGGTGCCGTCCCGGGTCGCTAGATTGCGGTAAGTGTATTCTTGCATTTTACTTCGCATGGGCGAACAACGTTTTCGGGTTGTTGGTTGAGGCCTCC